TATTTTCTTGAAACAAATTCCTTTTTCTTGTAATCAATCTTTTCTGCTAAGTACAGAATGCAAGGAGCCCGATATCTGAACCGTGAAACTTGGTTGCTATTCTGCAAATTAACAACTGAATCAAAGGCCACCTCCTAAAGTATTTTGCATATTTTTTGTGAAATTATCACTGTGCTTATTGGGGGCCTTTTGCATTTCTCTTGGACTTAAAACATTTTTTTAGCAAGAGTTGCTGCTTCTCTTCTGTATTATACTTCCTATGCTTCTTGGCTTTCATATAAAAGTTAGCATTTTGTAGGAATTATTGGCCAATCAGAGCACTCTTTTTTTCTCGTGCATGACAGGTAATCAGCTGTAATATTTATATCACCAACTCTTCAGCCCTTTATATGTTTTTAGGTGCTCAGGGGCTGCTGCTTCACTGATACTTTGTTTTTGTTTATTTGATTATTTTTAATGTTATTTCTGGGTCTCTTGCTCTTTTGGAAGCCTAAGGGATTGAATACTATTCTGTGGATAATTAAAATTTTGTGAAAAAAAACATGTAAAATATTTCTATGATTTAAAAATAGACCAAAAACAGTAACACAGCAGTCAGTGATGCTGGTTCTTCAGACTGTGAGTGGGTGACTGAGTGGGGTGGACGAGGGTAGAGTGTGGGGGACTAAAGATAAACTTGTGTACCTAACACAAACAAACGCCCAAACATAATGTAAATTATTTCTACAACCTAACTTTCCAAAATAGAAAAACTTATTCTTCATAGTCTGAAAATTAAAGTGCTTCATATCTTATTTTATTGAAATGAGTTCTTTCTAAGATAGAAATAGCTGTATTTTATTTAACCTTAAATTTTAGGGATTAGGCTTATTTTAAGTAAAGTTAACATTTGGTCATATTTTCTAGCTATTGACAAAACTGGCTGTGTGTGTGAGTAAGCTATAATAATTATTTGCTATAAATAGAAATAAGACGTTACAGAAAGCTCGTAAAATTTGCATTTAAAATCACTCAGTTATATCAAAGTTAATTTTATGTGTTTACCTGCAGTCTTTTATACATTATTTTTACCATTTGCATAATTATAATCATGTTACACTCAATTCTACATTTGGCATGTTTCACATGGCATTATATCTTAAACAAGTTCTCATGTCTCTCAAATAATGCCATTTGTAATCATTATTTATAATGGATGAATCATGTTTCATCACTTAGATGTACTATATTTTAAGTATTACATTATTGCTGAATTTTGGGGTTTGAATATTTCTTACTATAAATATATTACAGTGAATATATTTCATGTATATGGTTTTTCTCATAGTTCAGAATTTATGTTTGGATAGTATCTGAAGAGATGGATAACTTTGTCAAAATTTATTAGTATTTTTATAGTATGTGATTACATGCTATAGCACGTAATATGCTTTCTACAAGTATGCTAGTTCCCCATGACACCAATAACCTGTGAAAATCTTTCTGACAAGATTCTTAAGCATATTTCCCCAGTCATCAATAATACTGCAACTATTTATCTAGTTGTTAACATTTGCAAAAAAAATGCCCCTTCTGAGGTTTACCAGATCTTTACTTTATACCTATTAACTAAAATGATTTTCCCCCAACTTTCCAGTATTAGAGAAAAAAACAACCTAAGTGTGAAGATTGGAAAGGTTCATGTCATTCAAGGCACATAATTTAAAGACATCAATGCCTAAATATAGAATTGAAACATTTGAGAATTGTATCAAGAAAATGTCCTTCAAATCTTTAGAAAAGAAAAACAGATTATATCCCAAAGAACAAAAGATCAAGATGGTGTCAGACTTAATACTAGACAACAGTGGTAACTATAGTTTTGATGAGAGTCAGCAAAGATATTTGCATATGTGTATCAGGCTTTGGAAAGCAATATCCATATGTTTTCTAGCTAACTAAGAAATGTATAAAATTAAAAGTCAAGACCAGCAAAGTTATGTTATTAAAAAAATTGATAAGGAGAAATAAAGTTATATAAAATTGGAGTTTATTATTTTTATGCTGAAAGTATGGTTACAAAACTGAATATAGAGGTCAAAAATTATTATTGAAGAAGAGATAATAAAAATAAAAAGTTTATACCTAAACACCAGATGCTTATAATAAGGATTGGGAAGTGGAAGAGGGAGATGTAGAATGGGAAAAGTAAGCTATTGTCTTCATTTTTCATAGGAAAAAGCAAATAATATTGTTGTCTTAATTTTAATACCTTTAAAACTTAGGGTAAAGAAAATTATTTTTTTCTAATTTTAAAGGACTCCTCATTAGATGCATTTTTAGAGGACTTTTCTGCTAACAAGTGAAGCAGTTAAATAAAATATAGCATAAAGTTCTAAAATAAATGAATAGGAGAT